GTGTGTTTTACTCTGTGCCCAGAGGGCTGGATAACTCAGAGATACAGAGGACAGAGTTTTATCATCTCCATGGCAGGATATGGTGAGAGAGAGAGATGTGATGTTTCTTCACTGTGGTGATGTTGAATATGCATCACACACCGCTGAAGAACATGCATCTCTGCACTGCAGACTCAGAAACATGCATGTCAGTGGTCGCATCCAATTCGCTGTTTTGTTTTGGCATCTAATCATGTCTAGCTAGCGTCATCCAAAAAAATCAAGAGATGCTTTCTTGCACTAATTTTGATCCTGAATTTAGTCATAATTAAAGAGTACCATGCTAAAGCAAAATAAAATTAGCAGCTTACGTTTCTAGTGATATTTGTCTGGTCTCCCTGTTGAGTGATGGAGTTTTGCATACTGCAAACACAAAGAAAGAAATGTATTTACTTATGTATTTATTGTTTTTATATTTTGTTTTTTTATAATAATATATATTTATATATGATTTATTATTAGCTAAAGCTACTCAAAGCATCAAGCAAGTATTCAGCCAGTGAAATCAAAGCAATTTCAACCATTAAAATGTATTAATTTAGATATTTATTCCATTACATTTTACATTTCTATTTCAAATAAATAATGTTCTTGTGAAATATATAATTATCAAACAATCCTAAAAAAACCCCTAAAATATTAAACAACTGTTTCCAACACTGATAATAATCAGAAATGTTTCTCGAGCAGCAAATCAGCATATTAGAATGATTTCTGGAGGACCATGTGACACTGAAGACTGGAGTAATGATGCTGAAAATTCAGCTTTGATCACAGGAATAAATTACATTTTAAAACATATTACAGTACAAAACAGTTATTTTCAATTGAAATAATATTTCACAATATTACTGTTCTTACTGTGTTTGTGAACAAATAAATGCATATCAATGCTGAGCCTAAGAAACTTCTTTAAAAAAACAAACCGACCTTAAACTTTTGAACAGTAGTGTAGCTACACCAGTTGTAATTCTGTGCTTACTGTAGGTATTGTAGTTGTATTCTAAGGGCTCGTTCACACCAACTTCATAGCCAGTAAAGTTGTGATGGCTCATGTGCGCTTTTGCTCTCAGTTAGTACGGATCGATCTGTCAGAGGTCATACAGAAATTGAGGTCATGCTTGTAAATCCAGCGTTTACTAGTGGACGGCGCAGTCTGTCACGTTCCCGTAACAGGATTAGAGTGGACAGGGCTGTGCACCTTTGCCCTGAATGAAGTCAGGCCTGCGTGTGAGAGGGGAGCTTGGAAAATGAGATTATGTTGTAAGACCTTCTTTCTCTCTGCCTGTGCTGCCAACTCTCATTTCACTTACACGCTCACCTGACCAGTTCTGCCACGCTTCTCTAGAAACCATCACTGTCTGTTCATTTCTCGGTGTTGTGTTGTTGTTGTGTTGCGGTGATAATGTAAACCCATCAGCCTCTGTGTGTGGTGTCTGCTTTCCTCTGCCACAGGCCCCACACTGAGAGAGAGCGTCAGGCCATTGTCATGTGGTTGCTAAGGTGTTCTTAGTGAGTGTTTTTAGTGTACTAGTTATGCAGTTGCTAGGGAATCCTAGGTGGTTCCTATGGTATTCTAGAAGAGTAATCAACTTCTGGCTATTTTGAAAATATCTTTAAACTAAAATTTATTGCGGGAAGTTAACCTTGTAAAGAATTTAATTTAATTTAATTTTAATTTTAATTATTTTAATTTTAATTTAATTTATTTTTAATTTAATTTTATTTATTTTACATTTTAATTCTTATATTCTCAAATACAAAATAAAATAGGGATTAATAAGGAAGTAATAAATAAAAAAAGTACAATAATAATAAAAAAAATAAAAAAATAAATAAAAACAAAGTTACAGAAAAAAGGGAGGGGAAAAAGAGTAATAGTTCACACTGACAGCGATTTGTAGGAACAAAGCAACCGGAAGTCATTCATTTTCAGTGAGAGTTGGTGATTTGAGGCAACATGAGCAACAGGGACCGTTGGCGGTGCAACAAAGTTGAGCAGAGTTTAACTCTACGCAAATGTACAATGACATAATCTGACTATGAGATAATATGACT